GCCGGAGGAGTTTAAAAACGCAACAATCACCCGCCATTTTGGATTTACTCGGTCAGGAAAATCACGTGATTATCGTGACGCTATCGTTTTTCAAAATGCTTCGTTTTCAAATTGTTTTTCGTCCACACGAACTGATGAGAAGGCGTCGTTTTCAAATTCCTCCGGTTTGAAGATTGTTTTCGAAAAGCTACGTTTTTGTGACGGATTAGTGTGGACGGTAGGACTAACCGTAGAAATAAAGCTGCGTTTTCAAATTTCTCCGCTGTAGTGTGGACGGGGCTTGAGGAGTCGGCTTCCTGTCCAATCTTTTAAATTTTGCTGGTTTGATTTAATGCATAGCTCATAAATAGATCTTTTTTCTTCCTCAAAAAAGAAAAAAAAAATCGATCCCTATGGTCTTTAGCTAAGTTGTAAGACAAAAGCAGAAGCATTTGGGCCATGCTGTAAATGGAAACTGGGAGAAGCTTATAACCATCTGAAGGGGAGGGGGCATGCCTTTATCAAACCCTCCACCCTCCCCTCCCTCATCTCATCATCTATGTGAATAACACCTTTGGTTATAGTGAGTGGCATACGTATCAGAAACATATGCCTTGAATCAAGACAAAATTAAGGACACAACAAGCTTTAAAAATGTTTCCAACTCTGGAGTATTAATTCCCCGAAGGATACCTTCTTTCTAGTCAGACTTAAAGGCAGCTGAAACAATTGAGTGGGCTTCAATTGTGCAACTTGGAAAGATTGTTTCACTTATTTTAATTGCACGTCTCTTTAAATTTAAATATTTTAATCTTCTGGAAGTAATTTTTAAGCTTATTTATATATCATGCAGCAGAAGGCGGTTATTAAAATTTACAGCTATGTGCTGCTTGTCAGGTCGTTTACGCACAACTAGCAAAATTGATTGTTCCTTGAAGTACCGACTAGGAAATGATGTTATAATGCAAAGTTTGAAAAGTGTGTTTAGTTCAGAGCTGCTTACACTTTCACAGCTACACGCTAAATAATCGTCACTGCTAAACATCTTCGTGAATTAAAGTGAAAGCCGAGCGGAAACACTGCGTCCGTATTATTATAAGTTCCCGTTTTATTCTCGCTTTATTGATTAATATTAACAGGGCAACCTACTGTGTAGTTTACTTAGCGCGAAACCGCGTTGCACCCACAAGCTTGATAGAACATGAAACAATTCTGTTTTTATTGCGGCATTAAATTTCCGCTGTTTTCTAGACGTAGCGTTAAATGAGTGCATTAAAAACTACCATTACATTTTAGGAGTATTTTTTTTTTTAGTTTAATTTTAAACAAATAATAAAATGGTATAATTTTTAGTGTTGCGAGGATTTAGGAGAATGGTTTTTGAAAGTTAAATATAGGCATTACAACAAACTTCCCTTAACATTTTGAAAAGATGTTCTACATTATTACTGCTTATTACTTGGCCTTTAATTTTCCGCAGGAAGACTTAATGGGTCGGCTTTTTTTACTACGAGAAATAAAAGAGCCGAGCTTTATTCAATTGCGCCGGATAAAAAACTGACATAATTTGTGAAATTGTTTATTTCTCCGAATGGTGTATTGTTTTAAAAGCAGCTCGTCGCGTCAAGCGATGCTTTTTGTCGAGGCTATAAACCACTCAAAGAAGACATACAGTTGACACAAAGGACAGTACATAATGAAATATCGGAAGATCTTGACATATTTAATATCTACACCTTTCTGTCTTCCCAATTATGCAGGCGCATCAATATGTGATATCTTATCTTGCTTTACTCCTTTCTTCGCCAGAATTTTATCTTTACCACACCCAAAAGCGATGTGACTGGCAATATTCACGTTATAATTACAGCGCTAAGAGATTTCCTCAATAGATCGAACTTTGATATGTCTGGAAAATGTCGAAACTATACTTAGTGACCGATAATTTGGCTTTCGCATGATAGTTATTTTTTGCTATTCTTGTAACAAAAGCATAACCTAGTCGCCTGTGTGAGTAACTTCTCCATTAAATCAATCAATTTTCGATCATTCCATTCAAAACAGGTTGATTGAAAAGAAACTTGCTTCGTTATTTTTTCTATTATTATATTGCTCAAATTGCCTTTCTTTAGTTTGAAAGACATCGAAACACCAATGGCTTCCATTTTATATTTTCGGCTTTGAAATTTTTTGTGAGAGTTGTATCCATTATAAAACGTGCAAAAGTCGTCCGCATTTTATAAACAGAATATTCGTTACCAAAAGCTTGATATTAAATTTGATATCACTTTGTGTCCCAGTTAGTAGCATATTTTTTGTAAACCTGTTAATCAACAAACTTGCCGAAATACAGTTTTTATTAATATGAGTTACCAAATAATATTGATAGTATGACAGATTACTCGATTTTGTTACTGGCAAGAAGCATTATTTTTAAAACAATCCAATTTGGAATTTCTTACGTTCAAAATTCTATAGGATTTTTCTATTGAGAAGCTACAGAAAACACGACAAATTTATTCATTCCACAAAGTTTTACGAGGTTAATTTTGCGTGGTCATTAAAAAGAATATCTAAATTTATAACTCCTTTCTATTTGTTGCATAAGATATTAAGGCAAGTATTTCCCTCTTAAAAGATCATCTTGGAATTTAACGACGGCGTTAAATGGAGGTGTTTTTTTTCGTCTGGGCGTAAACGTCTTCGGAGTTTGTTAGTGATATATTTTCCGGTTAATACGCATTTTGGTGACCGCCCCGAAAAGAGCAGAATGATTAATGGACGAATAAACAAAACACAGAGTGCCTGGCGCACAAAAGACTCACTGAATCTCGCAGCGAAAACTCCGTAGAACATATATTTGTCTTATTACAATAACGTCAAACTCTTCGTTTCGAATTTCCACATCAAAGCGCCGACTTTAAGCACTTTTTCACGTTGAAGTCATTACAGAGACGTACGCACGGCCTAATGCGAAAGAAATAAGCCATTTGAGAACCATTAAGTTTGTAAATAAACCAACTAAAGAGCAAAATGACTGGACCAGGTGAATATAAGCTGATTTAAGGCCTGCCGGATTTTGGCACTATCACTAGCAAGGACACCTGCCCGAAATTTTTAAATTACTCCTCTATTTATATTGTTTATGCCATTGATGTTTTACGTCTAATTTCCTGACAAGAACAGGTCTCTGTTTTTTCTGTGATGTTTTGCTTTCATTTTGAGCACTGAGTTTATATTCTTTTGTCGGTCGTGTTTGGCGAAGACAATAGGTGACGAATTATTAATTTATGAGAAGTTTTGCTCCAGGCTTTCTGTGGTCTTATTCACATATTAACCCTTCGTTAACGCTTGGCTAAAATTAAGCTCAGATCTTGAGCACTGAATAAATTGCAATCGTTTGGTTTTGTTTGAAATCCCACTGGCAATGAATGTATATTTCACTTCGGCTCATGTCAAAATATCGGGTCAGTGTAAGAGAAAATAATAAAACAGACAGAATTTTATTCAATGTAGTATAGCCCAAATTAATATTGGTGTAATTTGAAGTCTATGTCAACACAACCCATTGAAGTCTAGAAGAAAAGGAACTTTGAATATTTAACTTCAACCAAAAATTCAATTCATTTGTACTATGCGAGTGTCACAAATTTCAAGTTTAGTTTTCACAAATGAACGTTCTCGAATCATTTGATTTTGAAGATTTTAGGTAAAGCTTGCTTCAAGGCGGTTTTTATGTTCTCATCAGTAATTTCGCGTTGTTTTCAGATGTCAAGCCGAGAAAAGCAGTAGGGATTAGTAAATACAAACTATATTATTCGACAAAATGAGTTTTTTATTATATTGAAAGTGAAAAGTACTTTCCTTCTGTTTTTCTAAATATTCTTTACAATTTTTACATATAGAGGATTTATTTCTTCGGAGAATAATTTGTAACTCGTTGTGCAGAAATTATTGGTTAAAACAAATGACTTCCATGAGGCCGGTTTATCAGCATAATAAACGCGTTATGAATACACAGTAAAACCAGGAGAGGTTTGTTCCGAACACATTGCGATGCGGGTTGCAATGGGTTTGTCAGAGATCATCCTGCAGTTGTGTTTATTAATTTCTTTTGAAACCTGCCGTCTTAAGACCTAGCGAATTTTTATCCAATTTTTCAATTGCCTCGCTCTTCGAAAAGTACACAAAACATTTTACAAAGCTTTAGAGCGCTTTTAAGAAAACCGTGAAATATATATATATATATTTTTCGCGAGACAATATTCCATCGTCAAATAAACATTTTTGGCGTATCTATAGTCGATATCTTTGCGAGTAAGTCTTAAGTTAATTTTATAGTTTTTGAGCAAGAAAAATCCTTTATTGTGGTGCTTAGAACACCAGATGTGAACTAAAAGCAGATTTCTCTTTGACACATGCATAAAATTATGTAGAATTTCAAATTTCCCTTCTTAAAATATATTTTATCATCAATTATATTTCTTAACGTAAGCTGAAAGATGAAAGACTGCTGAAATTTATTCGTTCCTTCATCAATGATTCTTCAATGTTTTTACCTAAGTTCACACGAGTGATTGTCAGTCTTAATAATAGCTTCAACTGAGGTCTTTTAATTTTTGCTAGTATCTGTGTTCGAAGGACGAAAATTCAGTATTTCAATTTATAATTTCGAAGAGCTACTGTCAGTTCGTTAGTGCTTATCTAAACATAGACGTCCTTCTACGTAGAAGTCTGAATTTCGATATAAAGTTACTTCTCTTTATCTGTTCTTGGGCTGACTGTTCGTGAATCACCTCCCGTCTTTAAAACCTCGATCGAATCACTGATCTCTTCAGTGTCCTTTGGTTTGTTCAAAACGGGCGTTCGAGGCCGAACTAGCGAAGAATTAATTCGTGAGTCGAAGAAGAACGAAATAGGAAAATTCTCTTTGCTTCTGTTTGTCTCTAAAGCGTACGGAACGCTGCTCGACGAAGTGTTAATGAAGTGAGCTTTGGCAAGAGTTGAGATGGGGGTAAATGCAGACTTTGGGCTGCCGAGAAAGCTCTCGGCCCCTCGTGAATACTTGAAACTTTCAGCGCGAAGGGCGGGATGGTGAAAGTCCCTGACGACATCTTGAGGAAGTCTTGCCCACGGAGTGGGTACTCCCATAAACATGCCAGCCGCGTCGCTCTTGTAACGTGTCAAAATCTCTTCTATCGCTTGACCCAAATCGCCAGCACATGAGTGAAGAACCAGCTGCAAAACGCTCACTTTGATCTTCGGGAAAATGCGTATTAAAAGTTCAATAGCCGAAGGACGCCTCTGTCCCGCGAAATGCACGGGTGACTTTTCGGACGGTTCGAATTCGGTTGAATATCGGCGGCGCTTTTCGGGAGCGTCTGCGAGATGTGGTCCTGGATTGAATCCGCCATGACTAACCTCTGTGCCGACTTCGTTGGGAAGTTTCCGTTTTAATCCTGCACGAAGATAAAAGCAGGGAGAGCAATTTAGTTTAACTACATTTTAAGTTACCTGTTACGGGGTTATGTTTAACTGACTCGAGCAATGTGATATTTCACGGTTAAAGTTTTGGGTTGAAATTACCACGAAGTCAGATAAAATTGTTACTTATAACTCTGCAATTACGAATTAAACGTCAATGAAAACGCTTCTGATGAGAATTAAAACACCTTAAATAATTTAGGCGCGCTTATCACAGAAATTGTATGCGGTTAGGAATCAGTATTTTTTTTTATTCGAATTCTCAAAGCTGAATTTACTGGTGGTAGAGTTTGTTCATTGATTATGGTAAATCACTTAAAACGCTTGTAATTTTAGAGTCTGGAAAAATACTCTGCCTATAACATTAATCTTTAAACGTTTAGAACTAGACATTTATCGTGACATTGGCTCAAATTGCTACTTTTGCCGTCGGAATACATGAAGTTCAAGCAGACCTCTTAATGTGGTCATAAACAGGAGAAAACATGGTATAGAATTTCTATAATTTCCTTAAAGTCCACAAGAGTCGACAACATTTCAACCCTTAATTGGACTATTGTTGAGGGTAAATCTATGTCCCCAATTGGCGTTTTTCTCCCGCTTTTAAGGGAACATCCTCTACCGAAAAAGTTTAACTCTAAAAGGTGCCGGACCAACTTCGGTGCACTTCGATATAGTTTAATTTTCCTCTGAAATTTTACTACGCAATTTACAAGAGAGGTGATAGTGTTGAATTTCGTTGCATTTTATCGCCTTTAGAATGCGAAAATGATATTTTAATATCTCTTTAACGTGAAACTAAGGAGCAAAATATTGCATCATTTGGATAAAATGATGGATACAAATGAATCGGCCATTTCAATTTTATAGCGAAGCTTTTCAAAACAGTTACAAGCAACATTGCCAAATGGCTCAAGAGGAAATTAAGAGAATGACTTGTTTCCAAAACTAATATATTTTTGAGTTGAAATAAGTTTGCAATACCAAAACAAGGTGGAATTAGCTTGCGGGCGGGATTTTAGAAAGGAAATTTTAATTTTCTTCGCGTAATTAAAAGGCAAAAGAGGAAAATTTCCCATCCATAACTCAGCGGGGATGAAACTGGCTTGAAATGAACGTGATGGATATAAAACGACATGAGCAGGTGTCCGCTCTTTCAGATGTTATTCAGTTCAAATTTAGTAATTTTTTTTAGTCTAGCTGGTCAACACAACTGGATACCACACGAAAGATAAGAAAATTTTAATGAGGGCTTGTTCAAAATTAAACTAGAAAGATACAGAAAGGGAAACTTTCATTCTTTATCGTCCGCGGAGAGCGCTAATCTTTTCGCAACTGTCAACTTTGATGTCAAAGCAAGGAACCAAAACGCCACATTGAAAAATGTTATCGATGAAAACTTCAGTCAAAGGAAAACTTCTTCAAAGGCCAATATCTAAAACTGGTCCGACTGTTGTTTTTTCGGCGTTATCAAGCGAGTATTATCTTTAGTCGAAGCTGGCTTTTAAAACGACGTGCTCTCAAGTCACAGCTTTAAAAGGCTTTATTATTCTTTTTGTTCAATTGGATGCGCAACTCGATGCATTTAAATACAAATATGATTCTTTGAGAATCTTTCCGTAATTAAATAAAAATTAGCAGAATGGTGAATTGTTGCACCTTGCAGATGATGAGGCAAAACTCCAGCGAACGGCCTAAAAGCCGAACAAGTGCATTCTCCGTGTAGCTCCTTGTGTGAGTTTCCAATAAAGCTTCCGTGGTGATCTATGAAATGACCAGAAAAAAAAAATAAAGAAATTGAGAAATGGAAACTCAAGTTTAACGCTTGTGGGGTTTTTGTTGTTTAACTCTGTAGTCTCAAATAGATAGACATGTCACTTATTTTCAATCGCTGTAAAATGTTATTTTGAAACACGGCTGTATTATTATGAACCCAATGTTTCCTAAATAATTGTGTGGAGGAAATTAAAGTGTATCCATTCAGCTTTTTCCGCGGTTGTTATGGGAAAACAAACTCCATGGCTCGGCATTTTTTGCCCCCAAATTTCCTTATCTATGCAAATTTATACAAGCATATAAGGTTTCTTTATACTGCGTTTTTTTAAAGAATTATGCGATACTGTTGAATTTGTCTTATTTCCGCCCTTTCCGTGAAATGTTTTCGTGCATGAAATGATAAAAAAGTGGCATTTTTGTAGAAGCTTAAGGAAAACCCGTTGCGTTTCGATTCCTTGAAAACCTTAACGTATATTCCCTCGTTTGTATTGAAAACGCCTTATAACTGAAGGTTGATACAAAAAACTGATGTAATTTAATGTGTATCTCTCGTTTGCGAACTCGCTGCAGCTTGCTTTTGAATTGTTTTTGCAGAATTTAAGCAATAAAAAAGTTATTTTTTTTCTGTAAAACAATGGTTTAGCTACAGCATGACAAATGGAAAACTCACCTGTAAACGAATTCGTGACTGAGATCGGCTCGGGGCAACTTTCTCTCACTGGGGAAGAAACCTCTTTCTTTATCTCTATGAAGAAAAAAACAACAGAAAACATTTTTTCCTCTTTCGTAAGACAACACATGGCCTTCTAAGATGCAAGCGGAAAGATTCAAATATTGGCTCTCGGTTTTCAAGGCCGAACTAGGCGAAAAATTATTACAAATTACGCACTGGTTGTTTTTATTAGAATCGCCACGCCGTTCAAAAATATTTGAAAGAAAAACATGAATTTACTCAAAGTTATAGGAGAGTGGAATTTTATATAATGGCTGATTTCCTTCAATTATTGGATTAGTTTTTGATTTATTCTTTTTATCTCTGTTTTTGTGATGTCTGCTATCTTTTATTTCACTTTTAATCAGCCCAGCTCGACAGCATATGGCCGGTGTTTGATGGATAATTTAAACGAAAAAACCACAGAAAGAAACACCTTGAAACTCTGTATCAAAAGCTCTAATGATAATACATCCATTTTAAGTTGTCGCCAGCAAGAACAACAGACGATAAAAATACGCAGCGATGGTTTTCTCTCGGTAAATTATACAGAAAAAATATTTGCTAAAATCGACATTTTAAGATTTCATTTTCAAAGGCATATTTTTTAGAAACACGCATTAGTTCCAGAAGGAAAGAAGCTATGTTATTAGAACTCCTCTCATTAAGAGCTTTTTGTGCTTTTCAAGTTGAAACTTTTTGCTACAAATTTTGTTGCCGTTTATGGTCCAGTAGAACGGGAAATTCTTGCTTTAGGTTGTTAGTCTAGACAGTGTTTTAGCGCGATTTTTTCAGTTTTAAGCACGTTTATCGTGACTGGGTATCAAACTTCAAATTTCAAGATATTTTGGTCAATTATTGCGCTTTTCTAGCTGTTTATTTGTTCGCTGCTTGAAGCGAACTCGCTTATAAACGGGCAGCATAGTGGCTAGTGATTACTCTTACCTGTTGGTTCGGCGCCAGTAGAACCAGGCGACGAGCTGCGAGGCGACGGACTCTGATTGCCGTTACTGCTTACTCTGGTCAGGGCCGTGAACACGTCTCCTGGGGGAAGTGGGTTACGCTGTTCTTGCATTTGCTGCCGACGAAGAGCTACCTGAGCCGCGAGAACTCGCTGTCTCTCAGCAATAAGAAGGCATTTGGGACACAGACAATCCCTCCATCGGCAGAACCCTTTGTGGCCCTTTAAAATAGAATCAAACCCATGATTACGGCATCGCGCGCATTTCGGTGTGCGCTTTTTCTCGGCGGCTGCTTTGCTGTTCGGGCTGCTGCGGTCGCTAGAAGCCGCGGTGCTGGCGGTAGTTAAGCTCGTGCCACCTTGCGAATAACTCATATCGGACTCTTAGCTCAGCTTATAACTGTTTGTCTGTCGCGCGACTGAAAAAATATCGCCTGGTTATATATATAGATATATATCCCGTGTAGACCAAGTTGCTTGTGTTGTAAAATATCGTATCGTTATACAAGTTGGAATTTAGATTTGATACTGTTTTATATATACTGGGCCATAAGGCTCCGTTGCCAAAGAAAAACGCAACAACGCACGCGATTGGCTGCAATAGAGATTCTTGTCACCTCTTTAACTAATGAGATGAAAGATCCTATTGTCGAAACCCACCCCTCATTGGCCAGGCATTGTCGTGGCGCAGGACACCTGCGCCGTAGAACTTAAGCGGTGATCATTTCAGTGTATGCGTTGGAGCCAGCAGGTGAACATAAACTCAAAAATAAAAACTTTATCCGTAAACACTGGCAAACAAAGCCGCAAAAGGGTGCGACATGAAAAGAGATCTTTTCCATAAACATAAGCTAGCTGTCTTCTGTTAAGTTTGAAGTTAATCTGGTCAAAAGAGCAAGCCCCCCTTTTGAAAAGGCAGAAACAAAGTCAGAGTAACCGAAAGAGTATTTGGTTATGTATCGAGAACACGCAATGCAAAGCATTGTGTAAGAAGGCTTCATTAATCAGATTGAAACTTATCTGAGGGTAGCAATAAGTTTAACAAGACTTGATGAGGTCGTGTAAGCTTGATTGCGCGCATGGGGTGGTTTCAGTTCGGCTGTGTTATTTCCTCAAATTTTCGCAGTGATATGCCTTTTAATCTTCTAATCAATGCATCCACCCGTCTTTTAAGTGTAATTAAAACTTCAGCGCTATGTTAGATGTCGTGGAGTTTGTTTTATCTTCTAAATTCGCTTTTCACAAAAAGGAAGTGCTTTTCAGGCTTAGTCATAGTATTAAAACTCGCTTCCTGTTAGAAGTGTATTAATAATTCATTTTCTCCTTCCTTATGGCACCTTGAAGCGAATTTAAATTGCTTTCTAATTTCATAAGGGAAATAATTGCACACTCATTAGATCACTTAAGCGTCGGAAAATAAATAGAGCAAACAACCTTTGAAGCCTTTTGAATCAAATTTGAAGAAATGAACTTTCGTTTTAATGTGCGCGTTTTCCCTGTGTACATTTCGCCGTCCGGTTTAAAGTTTTTTTATTCTATTCCAAACAGAAAGACCTTGGTTTAATTTCTAAAGAATAACTAAACAGTGGTCGACTGATAAACTCGAATAAACAGTTCAAAACCGATGACATCGCAGGTGGCCGCGATAGAAACGCAGTTTTGAGGCCTCGCATACAGTTTTTCATGGACTGTTTGAAAGATATATTGGATAAATTACGCCAGATTCAATTATTGGCCGACATTTTAACCTTCCGCATTTAAAACAAAAATTAAGGGAGGTTTAGCCACACACCTCTCCGTTACATTGTCTCAACGAAGTTAACACTTTTTTTCACTTTCTTTAATTTTCTGTATTGAAAGAATGTCCATTACACATTCGCTAGAAATTTTCCTTCTCTAAATAAATTTACATCCAAGTCGTGTTCATCAGCAGTCGGTTTCTTTCCCCCCAAAAAATATAAAGTAATTTGTTGATGTTATCTCCTTAGCCATTCTAGCATAACACTGTAAATTTGATTTGTATAATTTAACATTAAAGTCAATTTTCTTCGCCTTTCGATATTCATTGAAATATCTTTATGTAAAATTTGCGGCAACTGTGTCCCGTAACACTCAGCCATATCTGATTTCATAGCAGATTTTATCAGTTGGGGCTTTTTTTACAACAAAAGTCCGACCCAGAGCATTCAGGAAAGCTCATTAAGCTTTTGACGAGACATAAATGCAATTTTTTAAAAAAAAAAACAAAAAAGGAAAAAAAAAACATAAAAAGGCGAACCCGTGTATGGGTGGATATCACGATTTTAAAACATAATTGAGAGGATATGCTATTTTTTCTACGCTAAAGATAGCTTGAATTTTTTTTTTCACTTTGCAGTTAAAATGCTTATGTTAATCATCTTGTATATCCGATGTGTTTTTTTTGCTACAAAGATGACTTGCACAGAATCGCTTGTCAATTTTCAGAACCGCTACTCTGCTCCCACGACTTGTGATTTCCCATCATTTATTAAGTGACTACGGCGGAGTGCTTTCCTTGTTTTTAGTGTTAATAATCTTAAATTGGTTGTAAAACTAAGACCGGCAGAGCAGCGACTTGATAACTTAGGTTCTTGCTGTTTGAACCAGTATGTGTTCAAAAACCCGGCGGACAAGGCTAAACCAAATGATTATTTTTCATCTAATTAATATTGTCCCTCGCATGGCTTTTTCAAAAATAAGCTTATTTAATAACAGAAAAATAGCCTTGTGTAATATCCAGTGTAAAATCACATTTGAAAAGCGTATTTCCCTCGATTTAGGTTATTTACTGTTATGTTTTCGTAGGCGGTATCACAGTTATTTTTGGACGCGGAAGACTTATTGCTTAGTCATGTTTTGACCGTTCAATTCGAAAATAATTTTATTAATTTAAACAATATGCCTTATTTTCCGACCAGAACAGGTAGTCTGATAATTTTCCAGAAAAGTCAGAGGAAATGGATTGGTATTTAGCGCATTACGTTTCGTTCGAGTTTCGTGCAGAGCCCGGTTAAAGAATAGATTTATTATATATTTCAAGTTATCAAATGATAAGGGTGGACACACCACTGAGAGAGATTCTAATTGTATTTCTGCCCTGATGCTCGACGATAGAACAATTCTTACCGGTCTTTTGATCAGAAGTCAAAATAACCGGAAAATATTGTGGGTCTCGCCAGATATGGGCCGAAGATTACCGTCCTTGTTCGCGTGCGAGGCGAAGGTTGGAGCCAATCTCGATAACATCGAAACATGATTCACAATGATAACTAATTTAATGGTTAGACTACATCGAGCTGCCCTCTTAAATAACTCCTCGAGAACTTTATTGCCTATGGCAGCGGAAGCCTTATTGTGAAGGGGTTTTTAAAATGGTATTTAATGCCAGTTCTCGCCTTTTCGTGTGCGGAAGATAAGCAGAGGTCCTGATAAGTAATTAATTTTCATGCTCTTAAAATATAAGGAGGTGTTTTCGCTTCCTTTAGGTGGGTCGCTGTTTTCTGATAACAAACAATAACACTAAAATTTCCTTCTCTATGAGCTGTGAGCTTGCACTGTAATGACTTTTCGGTGAAGCAGTTAAACAAATATCGGTTACGCTGGCGTAAAAAGCCAGCGAGAAAGGAATTGATCAGGCAGTGGTATTGGTCTAGATTTGAAAGTGTGAGCAGAGGGAAAAACGAGTAAGAGAAATAATTGTTTAAAAATACAACTGGATGGTGAAAAGATAAGGAAGGATTCACACGTTACGTACAAAAGAAGAAAAGAAGTCTTCTTTTAACGCAAAATTAATACCATTGTATTAAACTACATGCAAATTGAGAGCTTTATTTTTAGTCTCTCACGCCATTATTTTCTCCGCAAAGAGGGGACGTAAGTTGAATTTAAAATCAAAACGTGAAACTAGGACACTCGGGTGCATTAAACAGTACAAAAAATTTGAACTATCGGTGAAAACGTAGTTAAAATCCTGTTTTTGGGACTCATCCATTGCCGATTTTAATCACGAATCATAACGAAAAAGTAAAAACTCTTTCTCTTTAATTAAAGTTTAATAGCTAAACATTTATTCGTGCAATACGCTTCTATCACTATTGATTTCCTGAGAAAACCTAACGCTTTCCACTAGTAAATTTAAACAACTCTTCGTAAACTCTGCCGGTTTTTCGGCACTGAGAGAATTGAAAAACCCCGCAGAAGAAAAAAGCCGATTAAAAAAAAAAGTAGACTGATTGGATTCAGCCATGTGAAAATATCATGAAATAAGATTAAGGATCTTTAAACGACATTGTAAATGTATTTACAAAGCAAGAAATTTTTCGGAATCAGAAAAATTTAATGTTCTCAGTGATACTGGTTTAGCTACAAAAGGCAAGCGAACATAAAAGTTGTAACATGCGACTGAAACAAGTTTTTTATCTCTTTTTTTATTCTTTTAGGCTCTAAACTCGCAACAAAAACACTGCAACAAAATCAGAGAGTTTCAAGAATTTTTCTTGGCATAAAACATTGCAAACTCTGCTGTAACAATTGCTAAACAAGAAGGTTTGTTTCAATTTCCTTTGGGATTTTTTATCCCTTTTGGCATTGAGTTTACATTTCTGCGTTTCAGGTGGCCTCTTAGGGCTGGCTTGGTCCCGCGGCGATTAAATTGAACACAACATAAAAAAACGCTAAAATCGCTATATGGTGCAAATTAAGGGAAATTTCACTTAATGAAAGGGCGACTCAATTATCCAGCCCTTGTCTTAGGTTACTCACGATTTCACATCACCAGGAAACACCATTAATAATAATAATTGTGATAATAACCTGAAAAAAAAGACAAGAAAAATTCTGCCCTCGTCGACTTCCCGTCGGATCATTTAGCAGCAAAAATTGTGCCACGAGTCATGGAATATGATTGTCAATTTGTTTCGAAACCAAATCTAAGAATTAAAATCGCTAGTTTGTAACAAATGTTTACTGGTAATCCTCAGCGTAGAGTCTATTCTTAAGCTGTTAACATGTTGACATATTCGGTCACGTACGGCACTTGGGAAAATCGAACGAACTAACAATGGCTCGAATGAAGCGGAGCGAGCCACCTGTGTGATAATAAAAGCGCGCAATTTACCTACTTGAATGGACCAAAGTTTGGTATCTTTAACGAACAAAAACAACAAAGAGCTTAAAGTAACCACACCAGAAAGGATAAAATTATTGCTAAAGAACTTACTAAGTCTCTTAACAAACCGTGCAATACTTCTCGGTGACTCACTTACGTTATGAAGATCACCGCATACTTTTCTATTTCCACTTGGTGATGTTCAAAGATTGCATTCATAATATATTATAGTTAGCTGGCCCTCGTAAAAAGCGCAGATACCAAAATGCACTCGCTTAAGGAAACTTTCCTCCATGATTGAACCGTTACACTTCAAAGCGTGTATTAAAGAGAGCGGAAAGTAGGGCAAAGAAGAAAGGACTAAAATAAAGAACTATAAAGAATAAACCACGTGTATCAAAGAAACTTCAAATGGGAATCAATTCTAGTTATTTGCTCAATTCACTGTGGGCGCTTGTTAACCAGTTTTATCAACGTAACAGAGAGCATTAAATCTTACTCTTGTAAATTTGTACGTGATGTCTTTATGCAAAGGGATCCATTAATTTCCACGTGGGCTTCTAAATAGAGCAGTAATTTGATTTGCCCTTGATTAGTCAAACACAATAGTAAACATTTTGATTACAATTACTAAAAGTGCTAGTTACTTTAAGCGAAGAGACATAAAACCACGAGGTGGTATCTTTTTGTTTAAACCTTTCAGCTCGATTATTCAACGGAGTCAAGGTCAATAACGGAAGTTATTTCCCGCCGGCGGGGTAGACATGCATCGGACAGAGATGACAACTTTTATTATCACGTGGTCTGAGGTTATTGTGCTGTGTTCCCGGGCAAGACAATTTATTCTCACAGTATCTGGAGTCAAGTGCTGTCGGACAGCTATTTACTTTTCGTTCCCAGATTGTATTTTAATTCGACAACTAGTGACTTGCCTCCAGTGCACATCTTGGTGCCACAAAGGGGCTCTGAGATTCAAATCGAGCTGGGTGGGACAAACACAACTGGTTTCCGTTGCTCAAAACGCGACCAACAAGCGTATATTTCTGCTCATTGAAACAGTTCGGCCTAATCAAAGCGATCAAAGAAATTCGATTTAGAAACCAAGAAAAACAGTATAAAATTACAATTGGCTAGGTTTTTTGTCGATACTTAAGCGAGAGGGATTGAAATATTAAATG